ATATGCAGATTTTACTTTTGCTTTTGCCTGGTATAGAAGAAGCTGCACTTACCATATTTTTCACATATAATGTACACTGCAGTTTGCAGCAGCTGGTTTATAGGGAAAAAAAAAAGTATGTGTTGTATGTGAGAAAATATGGTAATATTAAATTACTAGCAGACTTTAATGCTTTTCTTTTTGAAAAATTGTAATCCCATTGTCTAATTTGCTTTCTTGCTCTTCCTATGCTATAACCTGGTGGCTGCTGTCTTGGGTGCCATACCGTACATTAAATTAGGACCTCCAGTGCTAAAAGTGTGAGTCGTTAGAGCTTGAGTCAAAATTCATAGTGCTGCTTACCAGAGTCATACCTGCTGCAGACATAGAAGGAAATCTGAAATGCATGCTCACTGGTCAGTGACTTTAGCAGCCAGCCCATATTTATCACAAGTAATCTGACTTTAGCCTCACTCTCCTTTGCTGTGAAGATCCTCTATAAACACTGAAGCAGCAACAAGCAAGAAATAAATATGCAAAGGGGATTCAGCTGTTCACAGAATATAAGCAAGTGAGCATCATAAGCCAGTCTGGAAACTTTTGCTCTAGAAGTGTATGTCAAATAGGGTAATGGGTCCTGATTTTGACATTTAAATGATTTTTTGAGCTATGTTTGTCACAGATTTCCCTTGAAGGAAACTATCTGTTTGTTGAGAAAATCAAATGGTTTTTCATGTCCATGAAGTCAAAATATTTTGTTGACTTGTCCAAGTCCCCTCTCAACATTTAAGGAATGCAAAAATATGCATATGGGATCATAGAACGTTTCATACAACATTCTAAGATGCATGTTGCAAAATGTCTTGTAGCCTTAATGTGAAAAATGCAGCTTACTTAACTTAAAAGGGTAGTTTCTCTAGATGTCAATGGAACTATTTTCATAAGTAATGTAAACAGGAGTTAGCTTACCCACTATTCTCTAAGCCAGGAGTGCTAACGATAGAGTCCTTGGGGTGGATCCTGTCCACCGAGTTGCATCAGCTGGACCCCACTGCTGGTTCTGCATCTAGAGTTGACTCGCTTGTAGTGCACGCTGGACCAGCCCTGTGCACAGGGCCTAGGCCGTGATGTGCATATGGCACCTACTCTAGAACCCACACTTTGTGGCACCTGCATGGGGCTAGTTTGTGCACCCTACCACATGCTTGATCTAGTGCTTGCTCTGGCCAGTCCAAGCCTGTGCTGTACCTGACTGGCCAGCATGCAGGGTGAAAATGAGGAAGGGGTGGGAAGGGGCTTGTGGTCCCAATCCAGCCTGCATGGCCAGCCCTCGGCTCTTTGTTCTGCTCATGGACTTGTCCAACACCACTCGCTTAGCTCACAGGGCCAAATTAATTTGACATCATTGCTAGATTCCACTTACTAATGAGGACCTGGTATAGATAAAAGTGGTATTTGTTCAGACTGGTACTCTGAAAGCATCTACTCTTCTGCTACTGGCCTTGAACTCGCTCTGTATCGGTTTAACAGAAAGGTGAAGAACACTTGTTCCCTATGGGAGCTGCAACAAAACACTTGTTTGGGGAGAAAAAATTCCTCCACTTCTGTATAGAGACTGGGAAAAAGATCAATGCAACAGTTCTTACTGGGTCCAGGAGCAGTTTACTTTTGAGAAACTTGTGAGTAAATGCTCTCAGGCAGGTGTCCACATGTGCAGGAAAGCGGGAACAGATTTTCTGCTAATGGCAGCAAACTGCTCTTGCTTCCTGGGGCCCTGCAATGGGCCCTTGCTGCCACTGGGGGAGGTGGGGCGGGGAGGCATTCTTGGCAGGGAGCACTGGGCCAGGAGACATTACACCCTGCCCCTAGGTGCTAGCTGCTTCACCGGTGGATCAGGGCAGGGGGCTGGGACCTACCCCACCCCTGCAGCTCTTTCCAAGCCTTTTGCTTCAATCAGTTGATCAGAGTGTGGGGCTGGGACCTGCCTGTGACCAGGACAGTTCCTAACCCCCATTCTGTGATTGTGGGCTGGGGAGCCTGTTTCCTGCTTGGTGGGGAACAGGCTGGGGAGCCTGTTTGCTGATCAGCTTTGTGATTGCAGGGAGCCTGCTGCCTGCTCAGCTCTCTGATTGCAGAGCTGGGTGGGGAACAGGTTGGATAGCTGGTCTGTGATCACGGAGCTGGGCATGGAACAGGCTCCCCAGCCCCTGCCAGCAGAGAGCTCCCCGTGCCAGTTCTGTGGTCGTAGGGCTGGTGCTGGGAGATCCTTATCCTTTCTCCCAGGCCCTGCTCCCCAATCACAATCTTGGAGCAGGGGGCATGGAGCTCCGTGCTGCTGGGGCAGGGGAACATAGTCTTCGCCAGGGCCCTGGTGGTGGAGCTTGCCCTGGCAGCAGGCAGCTCCCAGGGGCATGTAATTATAAGTAAATTTGCTACTTGCATTTGCAGGTAGCAAATATACTTATTAGGGTGGTTTACTGTACATTAAGTGTATGCACATGTAGACTCACATGCTTACTGCTTAATGAACTATGCTACTGTGTAGTAAAGCATCTGGTGTAGACATACCTACTGAGTGTGTAATTTCCCAGACTTTGTCATGTGGTAGAAGGAGATTCAAAGGGGTCATGTGAATGTACTTAAGTATATATCTGATAGAGGGTCAAGGTGCTGATTTGCTAATGGTGTCTCGAGAGACTGGTCCTGAGAAACAACTGAGAACTAGAAAAAATCTAGCAAAGCCTGGCCTTTCAATTTGGCAGCCCACCTCAAGCACTTCCCAAGCCGAGACTTGAAATTTGATAGCGGTTGGGTCAGTATGATGTGGGGGAAGTATATTTGCTGTCATAGAGATAATCTGCCCAAATTTTTCTGAATTATAAGCCTCTGATATATTGCCTATACTCAGAGGCTTGTTCAACTTTGGCTGCTAAAATTTATGAAAGATTTTTCTTGTATTGAGTGTGCTCCATCTCTCCTTTATGCTGATTGTGCAGTTTGTGTACAATTCTCGCTAAGTTGTTTAGTATGTGCCATTGTCAGGGTCATGGGGTAGAGGGTGCTGGGCACAGAATGTGAGTATAGGAAGGGTGTTTTTGGGTGTTTTTTTAGGTGTTCACATTGGTTCTCTTTCTGTCCATCAGTATTTTTTGTGGAGAAGTGTAAGGGCTAGGGGAAGAAGGGATAGCAACCAGTATAGCAAATATGAAAAACCTTGCCTGACAAAGACAATGGTAAGAGCTGAGCTGGGTATGGGGTAGGAGACAGGAGAGGCATATTGTCTTCCTGAACTTGGAATTGAACCTATAAGCTCAATATTTCCTTGCAGAATAGCAAATAGCTACGAAACCCACTAGTAAAATATGTTTTTGTCAGGGAAATGAGGAGAATGGCTTACTATGCTAGGAGCAGCTCACAAGACAAAGATTTGCTTTATGGATTCAAATGTTCCAATCTTGCCAATGAATTATGTCACAGAGGGGTAAACATGATTCCACCCAATCAATTTTTTTTTCTGTTCTCTTAAAGGAAAATGAATTATAAAAGCACTGAATGTTAAAAGAAAATTAAGGTAGCAAAGCTGACAGCTCTGCTTGTGGAACACGCAGTATGTGATCATAGAATTAAAGACAGTATCATACACGCTAGGGGGCTGAATTAAGGTCGCGAAAGGAAATTTTATTTAATTCGCACATCTCTCAAACATATGTGTAGAACAACTCTGAAAATGATTGGAAAGTCAGGCATGAGATATTTACACAAAAGAAATTAGTCTACTTTCAGCAGTTTGTACCATTAAGTATGCAGGCAATTTGCCAACAATAATTATATGTTATGCAAATAAACACATTTCATCATAAAGAGAAAATTATAGATTAGCATCCTTAGTTTGTTTCTTTTGGTCTCTTACCACCCCATTGGAGCTCTGATATGGAATCTCTGTACATTTTATCAATGGTGTAGCACTTTCCTTCGGCAGAAAGAGAAGAGCTTCTATTGGCTCTTTGGGCATAGAAAGATGAGCACATAACTTGGCATTATTTACATAGGTTTTGTGTATCAACATAAATTACACTGGGATTGGGAAGGGACAGATGTGCAGCTATCCTGTGGTAAATTGCCCAGTAGGTGGCTATTACTATGCCAAGCCACTAGTTGGTGAGGGAGCAGGTAAATAGCCTGATGGGCTTTCACAGATGGCTGCCTGGGGGTAGGCAGATTTAAGCTAACTTAATATAAATCATACCAATAGTGCTTTACTCCTGTCTATTTTAAGGGGTAATTAATTCAGAGACTTGTGTTGCATGTTCATTACTTTTTTTTATACTGGTCTAATGCTAATTACAGTCGTGTAAATGTTTGGTCTATCTGTATCCAGTGTTAGATGGCACAGTATCTACTGCTGATTTTTTCAGTTGGATAAATAAAAATGACACCTATACATGAACTATAGAAGTTCTGAATGCATAATCTCTATTATGTAAACCCCTCAGCCTCAAGAGTCATAATTTCATATTAGACTTGCAGCTTTTTTTCTGCAGTAGTGTCATGCCTTTAGTTTGTCCTAACAAAGCAAGCTAAATAAAATCAGCAGCATAAATGATCCAGACTTGAAATTACACAGCCAATTTTGGACATTTTCCCCATGGGGAAATTGCTTCATATTTGGAACATTTCTTTCGTGGGACAGGATAAGAAGAAAGCAATAACATTTCAGGCAACATTTGCCAATAGGTCAGCTACTAAACAATCTACTGTCTGAGAAGAGGTTAAGTAGCAGCTGGAGGGTTGTATTTGGGTGTTACAAATTGTATTATATTCCCTTGACTTTTATCTTGTCAGGAACTGAAGCGGGGTTATAAATGTAAAGCAGCACAGATCCCCAAAATAAGGTTGGGATAGGTATTGGTTAAAAGCTGGCAGGGTTTAAGTAATCACCTGCAGTTGAATTGAGACTCAGATGGGAAGTAGGAAGTGCTGTGCTCAAGCTTCCTGTATAAATACATGTAGCTTTCTCACTGCTACTCCATGCAAGCTGTGACGTGCTTTTTAAGATATAATGGCAACATGCTCTTAATAGCAGGGAGGGGATTATTTATCCGTGTGGCAAAAGGGCTGGGAGACAAGTCCTGTTACAGTCCTGAAGAGTGCAAAGCTGTCAGACACACAGATAAAGGAAGAGAGTGTGTGTGAGAGAAATCCGTTTCTGATTTAGACTGTAAGCTACAGTGGTTGTGACATGAAGCTTTGGAGCACTGAAGTGTGAGTGAAGCTATTGAAAAGTCAAACAGCTGGGAGTGAACACTACCTTCCGTTCAAGGTATGTTAGGAGATAGTGCTCTCTCTCTCTCTCTTTTTTAACACTTCGTTTTTCCTTATAATGTGAGATAATGAAGTGGCTTAATGGCTCTGCTTATGTGCTTGACTAACAAGAAAGGTAAGAAAATGGAAAGGTTAAAAAACTAGGAAACATTTATGTGTGATTTTGACCTAAATCTGTAACTATATGGTGTTTAAAAAAGCTGAGATTTGAAGAAATCTTGCAAACTTGACTATCAAAAGCAGAGAAAATGAAATATACATTCAGTCCTGTTCAAGAGAATGATATTAGTTTTGTCAAGGTAACTTTTTAAAGAAATATCTGCATTGGGAAGTGTTTGAAAATGCTGCAGTACTAGGGCATATTTGTGTGTGTGAGCAAGCAGTGACTAAAATGGCATACAGTTAGGCTTATCTGTTATAGCTTAAATATTACAACTCATACATTGAACAAACTGAACAGAGGCTGGTCTTAAAACACATGGATTTTCTGCTGGTTTAAAAACACTTTTCAGCATAAAGTAGCTGGATCAGGAAAAACAGAGGACAGATCTGTGTGCTAAATATTAGCGTATTCCTCTAATTCCATTCAGAGCTTCGGGATATTGAGATTAGGCAAACAAATCCAACATTTGCAGTACGTATGAACACTAATGCAGATTATTTTCTAAAGGGAATGAAACACTGTACATTTGCTGGTGTAAATATCGTGTTTCCTCTTCCTCATTTTAAGGCTTTGTCAACACAAGATTACTTCAGTAATAAGGATTCTGTACTGTATTCCCAGTTTTAAGACTCTGTATTCTAGAGAATGCAAGGCATTCTACTATCTTATGATGTACTTTTATATCAAATGTCCTTGTTCATGGAGCACTATACATAGTTAAGTATTTAGAAGGACTATAGTTAAGGAAACAGTGTAGTGTGGCTTTCCATCCTCCTGGTGTGGCTTTCCATCCTCATGAATGTTTTAGAAGAGGAGAATTGTAGCATAACAGGTCAGGACTGAAATACCCACATGTGCTGAAATTACTGAGTGGTACTTGCATTCTAGTAGTAGGGCTGGCGCTTTGCTTGTTGGTGGCTTTGAGTTCTAAATATCTGGTTTGGAGTACTGTGTTATCTTGAAACAAAAGTTTCATAATCCAGCCCTTAATCCTTTCTGAACTAGGCACATTGGCCTTGTATTTGTCTCACTTAGTGCTTGTCTAAGTGTTACTGGGGGCATAACACTTAACTGTAGAGCTGACTAATTAGGTCCCCAGTAAATGTCTCAATGTCTACATGTCCAGTCCTATTAGGCCACAATAAACTGATAAACTCCACCATAGGATAGTACTTGTATTTACAAGTACTATCCAACTTCTTTAGTGCACAACAGTGCATGTGCAGCTGCTGACAAGGCTGGCTGGCTGCCAGCCAGCCCCTCCACAACACATTGGAGGAGCCCCAGGTTGGAGCAGCCCCAGTCTGGCAGGCTGACGCCCTGGGCCCCAGCTCAATGTGCTGCAATCCTAGGTTCATGTTTTAACGTGGCGCCTAGGAGCAATAAACTCTGATGCAGTGTGCACTGGAGTTCATTGTTGTGTGTTTAATTGCATGTGTAGATGCATCCTGGGCGTACCAAAACAAATCCCTTGGGTGTAAGAGTATCTAAACTTCCTCCCAAGTGACACAAACTAAACTGAATCAAGGCACTTAAGTGTCCATGTAAGGGTTTTCATTGTAAAATGATAGCAGTTTAAATTCAAGGCACAGGCTATATTAAAAAAACCCAACAACTCCCATGCAAACAATGTTTAAAACTACTGTAAATCATAAAAAAGATAGATACTCTGTTTAAAGTATGTAGAGCTGTCTCCAGGATTAACCAGTGAGGGGGAGGAATCAGATTCATTTTGTTCCATTCAACTAACTGCACGGTACTATATCCATAAACAAGGCCCTGTCTGCTCTTTGGATATTAACCTGCATGGCTCTGTGCATGAATAGGATTTAACTATTGCACAAAATTTCATTCCCCACCTTGTTGAATTGCATACTATGTGATGGTTATCACCAGACACGGCTGCATTTGTGTGTGAATGCACATACATGTGCATATAGCTCATGAAGCACTCTGTGGTGAAATGTATTGCATAAATAAATGGAAAACCAAATGGAAATGACAGTTATCTCTTTAGCCAGGTTTTTAAGGCAACCAGATGATATAGGGCTGGGTACAAGGAAAATGAAAATGGGAGGAGTATATCTATTGTTTCCATATATTTGGGAGATGTAACCTGTCCTTAACACAACATAAGATATTCAAAATATCCCCATGAGAAAGAAGTGAGTCACTTTGCAGGGGAACAGAAAGAGCTATCATTTTAAACTTGGCTCTTGGTCTATTAGTATACCTCATACAATGCCAATGATATGAGTCCTTCTGAGGAATTCCTATTAGTGTCTGTGGGAGTCCCACATATGGAATACCTAGTGGAGTAAGTCTTTGGTACATAGCTTTAAAGGTCCCTAGATCTTCAACTTCCCCCTCTTGTGTTCTTTTAGGGAAGAAGATTTATTTTGATTTATCTAAATGCGTGTACAGATAAAACAGCTACACTCCTCTGAGGAAGGCAATTGCTGCACTGCAGCTGTAGTATAACTGTTTTATCTATCCACTCCTAACCCAGAGTAAGTGAAGTTAAACCATAGTAATTCACTCCATTTCAGTAAGGCATTATTTACTGTAGCTTAACATCACTTACTGTAGTTTAGCAGCAAACAGATAAAATAGTTATGCTGCAACAGGTGACACTCTCCCTAGTTAAAAGGTATAGTATAATTGTGCATCTGTTCATTCCCTAAAATTATACAGTGCTTAAATCCTAGATGTATCAAATACACAAATACCTCCTGAGCTGGTAGCATTATGAAACTTAAGCCATTATTGCATTCTCATGCTCTTATTATGTTCACATGCACTTGTGGTATCCACTTAAGGCACATTGCCAAGTCAGAGCTGTCCTGAATTCATAGGACATATCAAAACAGAGACTACTTTACAGGCAACCCCTGCTTAACGCTTTTAATTGGTTCCGGGAAAACTGAGTGTTAAGTGGACTGCGTTAAGCGAAACCTATTTCCCCGTAGGTGTTAATGCAAATAGAAATAATTGGTTACTGCTGCTGCTTACTGTAGCTTCTCGTCATCACTGCTGCCTCTCCCCACCCCTCTGCCTGCCTACTGGCCACACCGGCCCCATGTGCCAGCCCACAGCCTGTGTTCGTGCCGGGTTCGGCACTCTGGCAGGGGCCCTGCACTCATGCCTGCCCCCCACTTGCTGCTTCTTGCCACTGCTGCTTCCCACCCCCCCAGCTCCTGCTGCCCCACCCTGGGCCCCTGATGGCCCTGGCCCTGCGGCACCAGTGCAGCCCCGAGCTCATTCCCACCTGTCCACTCGCTGCCACTGCTGCTTCGCTGATTGCTATAGCGAAACTGACTCAGCGCTAAGTGAAATCAGGTATTAATTTTAAATTAGTGCTATAGCGAAATAACACTAAGTAAAACCACATTAAGCAGGGGTTGCCTGCACCTTCTACTTGGCTGTGAAAACTACTCCCACAATTTACTCCCTGCTTCTATAGATGGACCCCTGAGAATGAGTACATCTTGTTTTTGCCGGCTTTACACTCTGAGCAGTGCACTTTGCAGGGTTTCCTTATTACCTAGTAAAGGTAGAAATAACTAGAGAGACGGTAGTATTCTGCTACCTTTAAAAACAATCTGATTTTGTAAATAAAAGGAAATCAAGCTAAACAAAGCAGAAGAAAACAATACCCCAGTGACATCAGACCCAGCCTGCATCAATTTATATTTTCTTTTACAACAGTATCGAGCACCAGTTCTAGACTCCTGGCCTCCATACTCAATTGAGGAAAGTGCAGGTCTGAGGACTGTGGTGCACTGAAAATTTACCCAGTGTTTCACAAATATTTACAGAGGTGCCTGTGCCAAATAACTTTGTGCTGATCAACTAAGAAAATACAGTGTTCAGTTCTCTCTCTCTTTCTCTCTTTTTTTTTTTTTTTTTTTCTCTCTCTCTCGTATAAGTGGTTTCACTTCACTGGAACTGAGTGGACATTAAATTAAAAAAGATCAGTGCTAGACAATATTAAGGTATTCATTAAAAAAATAAACTGAAAGGGCTAAATTATAAAGGACCTCATCTTGCCCTCAGTCAAGCAAGACTTCTATAAAACTCCCATTGACTTCAGTGGGAGCAGGGTTAAGGCAGCATAGAGCAGAAATTTCAGCTAATTAAGAAGTGATGAACTGGGCTAAAAGCTCAGCAAACACAGTGATAGTTTTAAATTAAAATACCTAAAACAAAAAATAAATAAATCCTCCTTTTCTAATTTCCCCGACTCTTGGTATCTTCACATACAAATATACAGTCAGATCACAGATCCCCATTGTTGTTTCTAAGTAGATTAAGAATTTTATTAAAGGCACTGGTGGAATATTTTGTACTGTTGGTAAACTCTCCCCACCCTCAAAGGAAAACCCCTCTAATGTATATGTGGTTAGGCAAACCCTGTAATTAGAAAGACATTTCAGTTCCTTATGTAATTTTTCTCAAAGAGCTAAAAGCCCACATATGTAGTTCTAATTCATGTACATTTATAATATATATATATATATACATACATACATATAGTTGTTCCCTCCAGATCGGATGGGGTTCTATCCCTTCTACACTGATGTTGAACAACTTCATATAATTTTTGCACACATTGTGGTACCACCATGCACGGTAACCCCACTTTCTAGAGCCATCTTGAATCTCGCTATACAAAATATGCTTGGGGACAGTCTCTTCCTCCTCTAAAGGGAAAGATAACATCTAAAGTAATTATTAATACAAACATAGTTGCAGGTTTCAGCAAGCCTAACAAGACATTGGGACTTGTTCAAAATTTTTCATTCTTATAGTATTTCAATGGGGCTACTCACATG